CCCTGGCATGGGGCAGAGCTCCCCAGGAAGGGCAGGAATCCCCTCTGGGACACAGGGCTGCAGAGGAGCCCAGGCAGAGCTGCTGATGCCCTGCTCGCTGTGTTGTGGTGCTGTGTCCAGCATCTTGCCCCACACCGCAGCGGGGGTGCCGGGGCAGCAGATCGGCTGAGGGCTGGCACGTGGAGAGGTTGGTGCCGCTCTGGGCACCGCCTTGGCTTCCCCAGAGCCTTTCGGGTGAATGGGATGCCCCAGCCCATACCTCTGCCAGTGACACCACAGGTGTTCAGGGCACTGTCATGGACCCTCCCCAGCCTGTCCTGTGCCTTTCTTGGAGGGATCTTCCTGGTCTGCAAAGGAGCATCTCAGGGCTGCTCTGCCTTGGACCAGACTCTGCCTCTGTCTGAAGGAGATGAACAGAGTCCTCCTCCTCCTCTCTGCTCTGCACTTCGCTCTTCCTCCTGCTGCCAAACCATCTCCCAGCCAGGGCAGAACTGATGTTTCTAATGCTCAAGCAAGCTCCACGGTTTTGCTGTCTGTCTTCTCCCCTTAATCTTTCCGTGCCTCTCCCGCTACAGCGCAGACGGGCTCAAGCCCAGCTCTCTTGTCCCTTGGCATTGGGTGGGCCTGGTCCTGCCACAGCACACGCACACGAGAGCCTCGACCTCCCCTCTCGCCCTGTGCCTGCTGTCTCAGAGCTGGAAGCAGGACAGTGTTAGGGCCACTTCCAGCAAAGCTCACATCCTCAGCGTGATGAAGTGGGGTGGGAGCCCGTGGTGGCCAGCAGAAGGTCCCTGCAGCCTCGTGGGGCGATTTCCTCATGGCAGAGTTGAAGCCTGCGGAGGGAAGGAGGTGGCACTTTGAGCTTGTTGGGAAGAGCTGCTCGGAGAACAGTGGGGCTGAGGTGCTGTCGCCTGTGTCCTGTGGCCATGGACAGGCGGCAGCAATGGAGGATGCCTGTGGCAGGGCCCGACAGCCCTGCTCCCTGCTCTGCCGGGGCCCTGGGGGCCATCCAGCACTATGGGGTTATATAAATGCCAAGGCAAGCCAGACAGCTGGCATGGAGAGTGGCTGGGAGCAGGAGATGTGCACATTTTGGCCTATTTCCTTCCTTGAGTCTCGGGGCAGCAGCGCTCAAGCTCCCTCCTCTTTTCCGGGAGACTTACCACCGTCTCTGGCTGCCCTGGTCTGGCTGGAAGGACCCAGGCAGCTAAACATGACAATGCTGTGGCCTTGCTGGCCCGGCGAGCACAGGCAGAGGGTGAGTGTAGCTGGGCTGGCAGCACCCACACCCTTGCACACAGCAAGGGTTCCCCAAGCACAACTCTCCCAGCTCCCACGGTGCCAGCTCTGCCTGCCTGGCTGCTGGGCTGGGAGAGGAGCAAGCAGCCGTTCTGTGCTGGGAGGATGCCAGGGGCTGAGCCACACGGTGAGCCAGGAAGACAGCACTCTGCTCTCCTGTCCCCAGGAGCCTCCCGAGGATGATGCCAATATCATCGAGAAGATCCTTGCCTCCAGGATGGTGCAGAAGGAGGTGAGTGACAAAGATGTCAGTGGGCCTGGTGGTCCCTGGGCAGAGGAGAGATGGGACCTGGCTGCCTTGTGCAGCAGTGACATGAGACGTAGCAGCAGTCGGAGCTGCCGTGCCCTTTCTTGCACTCATGCTTCGCAGGGTGCTGCTGGGATATGCCCAGACTGGCACCTTTCTGGGTTGGGGATCAATGTGGTGCCTCTCCTGCCCTAGGCACCAGAAAGCCTCTGGAGAGGAGTCAGGCCTCGGCTGATGCCCAGGAGGTGTTTGAGTCCCCTGTACTCAAGGGTGGGCTCACACCACGTTCCCCAGGGCCACTGAGCCCCCGGGGCAGGCAGCATGCCGAGTGCCGGGCTGTCCCCCCCATCCGTGGGGCTCAGCCTGCCTGGGGCCTGTGCCCCCTGGTTTCTGCAGTGACTCTGACTGTCCCTAACTCTCCTTCCCTTGGTTTCAGGCTCACCCCGGAGGCCTGGCGTTTGAGATGGAGGAGTTCTACGTCAAGTACAGGAACTTGTACGTGCGGCGTTGTGGTGCTCTGTGCCATGGCAGCGGGCCCTGTGCATGCAGGAGCGAGGGCTGTGCACTCCCACCTCCATCCCATCCCCAGCTGCAGCCCCAGCATCCCTGTCTCGCTGCCCCCGTCCTTCTGAGCCAGCCCCAGCAGCGGGAAGCAGGAAAGCCACCATGGCCACAGTGCTCAGTCTTGGCCTGGACCTGGGCCATGGCTTCCTCCAGTTTGGGGTTTCGCGTGGCGAGGCATAGGCTGGGAGTCATCTGGGTCACTGGGAGATCCCTGCTGGTCTGCGAGGCGGATGGGATCGGGCCCAAAGGCCTCTTTGGTCACATTTTGTTGGTTTTTGTTTTTCCTCTGCAGCTCCTACCTCCACTGTAAGTGGGCAACTCTGGAGGAGCTGGAGAAGGACCCCAGGATCTCCCAGAAGATAAAGCGCTTCCGAAACAAGCAGGCTCAGATGAAGCATATTTTTACAGAGGTGAGAGCTGAGAGCAGCAAGCAGCTGTGCCCAGCCCTGGCACCCCTGGGCGTGGTGCGGTGCCTGAGCAGGCCAAGAGCTGAGCACCACCTCTGGCACCTGCCTGCCCAGGTGAGACCAGCTCCAGGGCCAAAATTCAGGGCTGGGAGTGGGCAGGCAGGGCTCACCGTGCATCTGTGCCTGCCCCGCCTGAGCTCTGCCGTAGCTCAGTGATCCCAGGGTGCTGCCCAGAGCCCTGCCTGTGCCCCCTCGCTGACACCGTGGCAGTGCCCAGGCAGCAGCGTGGCACCTCGAGCTTCCAGGCTGGTTTGAATGAGGGCACAGCACAAGAAGGTGAATGGGTGGGGATGCCGGAGCCAAGGGTCCATGACAGTGCCCTGAGCACCTGTGGTGTCACTGGCAGAGGTATGGGCAGGGGGACAAATGTCACTTGCCAGGCGCTGCCAACCCTGGAAGTGTTGCTCAGTGGGAGGGAGGGCTGTGTGCAGTGCTGGAGCTGCTTTCGTGGTGGAGCAGAGATGTTATGGGAGAGAGGGAGCTATAAATACTGGGGCTTAGGGCAGCTCCTGCCTGCTTTGCTCTATAAGCAGATTAATCTTGTTTAATGTGAAAGGTGTTCTATAATTTATCTTGCTGCTCCGGAGGCAGTTGTTGGATCTCCTCAAACTGCCCCTTACAAGTGTAAATTGGGGCAGCAGGCCACGAAAATTTCTCCATGGATGTAGTTGGGAAGCTGGGGGGGCATCAAATTTCTCACTCCCGAGTCTGCGTGGGGTCTTTCCCAGGATGCAAAGAAAAAGCAAGTGTTGGAACACACTGCACCACGAACAACTTAGCAAGGAGCAAACGCTCTTTCCTGGGACTGACTGGGGCTTGGGGAGCTGTGAACACAGACGCCTGGTTTTTCTCCTTCCCAAGCTGTAGAGAGTGTGTCTCTCCAAGGACCACTGCCAGTCTAAAGCCTGCTCCTCCCAGGTGTTCCTGGCAGGAGGATGAGCCCTTGCCTCGGGAGCAGTTGCTGCTGGTGGCTGCTGAGCTGAAGGTGGGGGGAGAGGAAGGCAGAGACAGAGAGCAAGGTGTCATCCCTTGTGGTGGGGTTCATTGGGTGCTATGTGTAGCCCTGTGCTGTGGCAGAGCCGCAGCTCTGCATGCTGCATGTGAGCTGGAGCATACAGCGAGGGCTTCGTACCTCAGGGCCAGATGGGCTGGAGAGGACGTTCCTGCCTCCCAGCAAGGGCAGCATGGAGCCCGCGGCTGCTCCGAAGCAAGAGCTGTGCCTTCCGCAGGGCTCCTGCCTCCTCCTTGCCCAGAGACAGATGTCGCGTACCTGCGTCCAGGGCGCTCAGGGCGCTCGGTGTGCTGCGCACAGCTAGCAGCACCCTGGGGACAGATGTCCCACAGCTGGTTACTCGTGCCTGCCATCTGTTTAACCCTGCAGTCACCTTGAACTTCCCTCTCTTTTTACTCTTTGCTGTCACAGCCCGATGAGGATTTGTTCAACCCAGACTACGTGGAGGTAGATCGAATTCTGGAGGTGGCTCACACGAAGGACCCAGACACCGGGGAGGTGAGTGGCTCCATCACTTGCTTCCCCCACGGAGGGAGGCTTGTCAGGAGGCCCAGATGTGCATGGCATGGTGTCTCTGAGCACCCCGAGGCCTTCCCACTGCCCGTCGCTGTGACTGGCTCTCAGTCGTGCTGTCTCTGAGCCCGTCTCTCCGCGCTGCAGGAGGTGACTCACTACCTGGTGAAGTGGTGCTCGCTGCCCTACGAGGAGAGCACCTGGGAGCTGGAGGAGGATGTCGACCCAGGGAAGATTAAAGAGTTTGAAGCCCTCCAAATCCCTCCAGAAATCAAGCACATGGTAACGTACCCAGAGGTAACGTACCCGGCTGGCAGCTCACTGCCCTGGGTGTCTTGCCGATGTCCAGCAGTGCTGACCTTGTCCCTGCTGCTGCAGTGCAAGCCCCATATCCTCCCCTCCGGATGGGTTAGTTAGCAGGATCCAGGGGTGGGATGTGGAGGCCAAGACCTTGCTGTGAATCAGCAGTCAATGCCTGTGCTGAAGTGTTGTCCTGATGCGCAGCCCCAGAAGCGGGGTCTGGCCTCGCTGAGCCTTAGCTTCTTCCTCTCCACGGACCTTGCTCCTGCTCTCTCCTCCTAGGAGCGCCCGGCATCTGAGTCCTGGCAGAAACTGGAGAAGTCCCGGGAGTATAAGAACAGCAACCAGCTGCGGGAGTATCAGCTGGAGGGAATGAACTGGCTGCTCTTTAACTGGTATAACAGGTGAGGAGGGGCTGGAGCCCAGTGCTGCCAGGAGGAGTCCTGCTGGCAGTGGGGCCCCGGGGTGTGCAGTGACAGGAGCAGCAGAGCTGAAGGAGCAGACCCGTACAGCAGCTGCTGAGACCTTCCGGTGCTGGAGCTGGCAGGCAGCTACCAGAGAAACTGTGTTTGTTTCAGCTTTTCAACTGAGCCTTTAGGAAAGTTTCTCCCTGGTAAATGCTGAGGAGTCTTGGAGATAGTAGGGCTTAGCTGTGGGTCTAAGATACAGCTGATTTCTGGTATTGGCCAGGCTACTGGTGACCCGTTCTTGTGGCAAGAGTGCAGGAGTATGCATGTTCTCAGCTGCAGCAGGCCATCAGATCCATCTTTCACTGGCTAGTGTGCACCCGAGGGACAGCATCTTTCATACTAACTTTGAGTCCATCATCTTGCAAGAAGTTGGATGGACTGGCTTATCCAGACTGGTTTGGGCCACTGTACTAGTGTCCCCCTACCCTCCACGCTGCAGGTCAGAGAGGTGTGGGTGGAGGTGATGTGCCTGCCATCCCATCGAGGAGTTGGCAACAGGATGCCCCTGAGGGCCATGTTCACCTGCCCCTGTCCATCTCTGCAGGAAGAACTGCATCCTGGCTGACGAGATGGGGCTGGGGAAGACAATCCAGTCAATCACCTTCCTCTCAGAAATATTCCTGATGGGCATCCATGGCCCCTTCCTCATCATCGCGCCTCTCTCCACCATCACCAACTGGGAGAGGGAGTTCCGCACTTGGACGGAGATGAATGCCATTGTGTACCACGGCAGCCAGATCAGCCGGCAGATGATCCAGCAGTACGAGATGGTGTACAGGGACACACAGGTGATTGACAGCACTCCCAGGATGCGTCCCCCAGCCCTGACTTCCTTTGTCTGGGAAGCACTGAGCTGCATGTGGAGCTTGTGGTTCATCTGGAGAGGGAAAGGTGATCTTGTAAAAGGCCTTTGCTGGCCTGGGCTCAGGGCGCACTGTGTATGAGTGAAGAACAGGCCCAGCTCATGCAGAAGGGAGAAAGGCAGCAGAGTTCCAGCCACAGTTCTTGTCCAGGCCTGTTTGTGTGCCCTGAAGCAGTGTCTGGTTTGGAGAGACGCAGCCTGTGGCCAGCGAGGAGGCTTGCAGGAACCTGCCCTCTGCTTGGGAGAGATGAATCTGGGGAAATCCCAGCTAGGAGCCAGATGCTCACGCTGATACATTGACAGGATGTCTGACAGTGTCCTGCGCCCTGCAGGAGTCAACTGCTGCATGTGGTTTATGTCTCCCTAGGGTAACCCTCTCCCGGGGATCTTCAAGTTCCAGGTGGTTATCACCACCTTTGAGATGATCCTTGCCGACTGCCCGGAGCTGAAGAAGATCCAGTGGCGCTGCGTGGTCATTGACGAGGCACATCGCCTGAAGAACAGGAACTGCAAACTCCTGGAGGGGCTGAAGCTCATGGCTCTGGTGAGCATGTCCTGCCTGGGTTCATGTGAGAGCAGGGTGGCCCAGCGATGGCCATGCCTGTCAGGCAGGTGCCACTGCCAGCTGCCCAGGCCCAGTGCCAGGGCTGAGAGCTCCCTGTCAGAGGAATAACCATCCAGGACCCATCAGGTTGCGGAAGCAGTGCCGGTGACGGGGGGCCCTTTGATGGAGGGGGCACTGGTGCCCTGCAGCCACCACAGACTCCTTTTTGCTGAAGTGGAATGTTAAGTCACAGCAGGCCAAGCCCCGCCATGCCCTCCCTTGTGTGTGCACTCCCTGGCAGAGCACCCGGCGCCTTGCCACGCAGCTGCAGCTGCTGCAGCGCACGGAGGCGGTTGTGAAAAAAAATGCACAGCATCCTCTGGCCGTGGTGAGCCTTGTACCCTGCGCTGAGGAGGGCTGCAGTATTCAACTCAGTTTCTTACTGCCCTGCAAACCTGGGTCCGGACCGTGCCAGGGATGGGGATGCAGGACCATGCATGGTGAAAAAGGGATCAGCGAGCTGCTCTGAGAAATGAATTTGGATGTCCAGCTCCTTTCCAGCCCTGGGAAAGGCAGCGCTGCTGTTTGCTGGACCAAAGGCCACCAGGCCATTGGATCTCCCAGCCCTACCCAGCTTCCAGCACACTCACCTGTAGCTGCGCCTCCCAAAATTATCAGTCTTATGTCTCCAGTTCCCAAAGACTCTGCTGTTTCCCCGTGACCCTGTGTCTTGTGCGGGTCCCTGCTGGGTTGTGAGCAGCCTGGGGCAGAGTGGGATTGCTGCTGGCCCCCCTTCGTAACCATCACCTTTGTTGTACAAGTCCTGTAGGAGCCCCCACCTTACAATTGCCCTTCCGTCATAGCTGGTAACTCCTGGGGACGTTCCCGGTGTTAGGTTGAGCAGGAGGATTAGCCTGAGCAGTGAGCAAGCACCCAAGTCTCTGGCACTGCTGGGACAGAGTGGCCGGTGGGCCCCGGGGGGCAGCACCCCCGGGGAGCCCATGGTGTCAGCGCACAGAGGGGAGTGTGTTCTCCTTGAGGGGTCATTTGCTCCTCACACCCTCAGGTCTTGGGGGGTTGTCTGGACCCCATCTCCTTTCATTGCACGTGTACCTACATGGTGAACCTCTAATGAAAGGTTCCTTGTTCCCAGCACACACTTGACACAGTCATACGTGGCCTTGCTGATTTTGGAGCACCCTACTGATGCTGGCCCTAGCACCAGGTCCCTGATGCCCCTTGGAATCGCATGGCTCTGGGCCATGTTCCCTCTTGTTCTACCTGAGCCCTGAAGAGGAACATCCTGCCCCATCCTGTCCCCGTCCAGTGCCAGCACAGCCCTGCCTGAGGGTCTTGTGCCAGGGCAGGGCTGAAGCCTGGGGGCCGTGCAGGATTCTTGGTTTTGGCTGTTGTTGCTGCCCAGAGCAGGACTGGGGCACAGCCAGGGGAGCGTCCTGGGAGCCACGAGACAGCGTTGTGTGGCAGTGGCTGGGGCAGGGCTGGCACCATGTCCAGGGGACCCTTTCAGGCAGTGCGTGTGCCCCCAGGCCACCCAGAGTGCTCCTATGGCTGGAAGACAAGGAGCATTGTGTTCTTGGGAGCCCTTGGACCCAGCCAGTGGGTCTGAGCCCTCAACCTGTTTTCTGTGTATGTCCAGGAGCACAAGGTGCTGCTGACGGGGACCCCCCTGCAGAACTCAGTGGAGGAGCTCTTCAGCCTCCTGAATTTCCTGGAGCCACAGCAGTTCCCCTCGGAGACAGCCTTCCTGGAGGAGTTCGGAGACCTGAAGACAGAGGAGCAGGTACCTAGAGGAGTGACACTGGTGACTGTTAGCACAGGCCGCTGGGACGTGTGGTCACCAGGCCAGGCACGCACTCGCACACGTGTTTCATGGGGGCGAATAGAACTGCTCGTGCCGGGAGAGGCAGTTGTGACAGAGCTCCCAGTGCTGCCTGGGAGAGAGGAGCCCGGCCTGTGCCAAGGCAGCGGTCCGCTCCCCACCTCGCTCCCTCCTGCCCTTGCGTGCCTGGGCAGTGCAGCTCAGCTGGCTTTCCCACCTGGTCTGTCCTTGAGACCAACAGGAGTGCAGGGGGAGTGAGGAGGTCAATAAGTCCATGTGTCAGTCGCCCTTGTCAGGTTCCCCTGAGGAGCTGTCCTCCAAAGTTCCCCTTGAGTGTGGGTCATGGAAAGCAGCTCAGTCCCCTGGGCTGTCTCGCTGCCGTTTGAATATCTGGTTTAAGAGGATATTGCACAAAGATCATCATTCTGAGGGAACAGGTATGGGCACATGGAGCAACCATCATCTCAGCTGCTGTTGAAGCTCTCAGCTCTCCTCCTGCAGCAGACACATTCACCCACGGCTACCGGCAG